CTGTGAAACCACTACTTTTAAAATCCCTAGAATACCTTTATAAGGAATAAAACGTTACTGGTGACTCCTTGTTTGAACAGTCTGCTTCCCAGAGCAAAATGGCCTCTGCTGCAGAGCAGAGGTAACCAGGCTGTCTGGGCACGCACCCAGTTCTTGGATGGTGGCTGCTGACCCTGTCGAGGGGCAGCAGTGGCCACCCCAGGCCTGGCCAGTCAGAGGCAGCTGCTGCGAGGAAGGTCTCTGCTCTGATCCCGGGCATCTGTCATCAGACACTGCCAGTGAGGACTGTCACAGTTTTATGACCCTTGGCTGTCATCCCAATAACAAGTCAGTCATAAGCCACCCTTTTTTCCCTCTGTAAAATTCCACTTCAGTACCCTGGCTTTTCTACCAAAATCTTTTTTGAAACAGTGAAAATAGAGAATAAAGCCTCACTGCCCTGTGTGTGACCGTCATGTTACCGTCCTGCCTCCTTGGGCCAGCCCCACCCCCACTCAGGGCTCATGCAGTGAGAGTATGGGGCAAGTTAGAGACAGGGATGAAGGCAGTGTTTCCTTTGTCTCTTGAGTGGATAAGCGACTGGAAGACAAGGAATGGTTATTTCTGTATCGTATACAGCATCTAGAACAATAGGCGTACATAATAGTAATAAACAGAGAACAGCCGTTTTTTGTGTTGTTATAGAACTAGGGGGTAGGGCCGGCGCCGTGGCTCAATAGGCTAATCCTCCACCTTGCAGCGCCGGCACACCGGGTTCTAGTCCCGGTCAGGGCGCCGGATTCTGTCCCGGTTGCCTGTCTTCCAGGCCAGCTCTCTGCTATGGCCAGGGAGTGCAGTGGAGGATGGCCCAGGTGCTTGGGCCCTGCACCCCATGGGAGACCAGGAAAAGCACCTGGATCCTGGCTCCTGCCATCGGATCAGCGCGGTGCGCCGGCTGCAGCGGCGGCCATTGGAGGGTGAACCAACGGCAAAGGAAGACCTTTCTCTCTGTCTCTCTCTCCTCACTGTCACTCTGCCTGTCGAAAAAAAAAAAAAAAAAAAAAAGAACTAGGGGGTGGTCGACTTGAACAAGAAGAACAGAAGGAAGAAACAGGTGACAGACTGGCATGTGGTGCAGAGGGTAAAGCCACCACCTGCTATGCCAGCATCCCATATGGGAGCCAGTTCAAGTCCCAGCTGCTCCACTTCTGATCCAGGTCCCTGCTAATGCACCTGGGAAGGCAGCAGAAGACAGCCCAAGTGCCTGTGCCCAGATGGGAGACCTAGATGAAGCTCCAGCTTTGGCCCAGCACAGCTCCAGCCATTGTAGCTATTTGGGGAGTGAACCAGCAGATAGAAGATTGATCTCTCTCCTCTCTCTTTCTCTCTCTCTCCCTCTCTCCCCCTCTCTTCCTGTCTGTCTTCCCCCCACCCCATCTATCTCTCTGTCTCTCTCCTCTCTCTCTACTCTCTCTCCCATCTCTAATTCTGCCTTTCAAATAAATAAATAAATCTTAAAAAAAAAAAAAAAAACCTGACCAGTCTCTTGGGTTCTGCATGGGTGAGTGAGAGTAGTGTTGTCAAGGCACAAGGCTGTGCAGAGCCGTGTGGTCAAGGTCTGGATTCAAGCAAGAAGGGAAGCCTCGTATACCCCTGGGATCAGGGTAAAAGTGGGGCTCAAGTCATGTGCCGGGTGTCGTGGGTCAGGTCAGGGTCAGCTCCTGGGCAGTCAGAGCACATCTGAAGTGCAGACAGACGTGGCTGCCCGGTCCAGGACAGGAGCTGCCTTGCTCTGTGGTTCAGATGGGAAGTACTGCAGACTTCTCTCTGATCTCTAGAATTCCGGGTTCCAGCTGGTCACTGTGTGTGATCGGAGAGCTAAGTGCTCCTGGAGGTCTGGCTGGCTAGAGTGCTGTGTTCCGTCAGCCAGGTGCCCACCGTGTGTGCTGAACTCAGTTATTATAACATTGTGGGAAAGAAAAGCAAGTGTGAAGTGTAGACAGTGGGTTTTGTCCTCAGGACCTAAATGTGAGGCACAGAGATAGTAACCCCACAGGGAATGGTTTGACAGGCAGAAACACAACCTGTGACCAAACAGAGGTTGTGGTGGTCTGGGAAGGGGAGGGGCATAACGGTCTGGTCTTTGGAGGAGGGGAGAGGAGTGGTGAAGGCATGCTGGACGGGCATGGGCTAAGAGTAGACGGGGGTGGGGGGTGTAGGAGGTGGTCCTTCGAAGGGTGACTAGACAGGGTTGATCAGAGCTAAGAGTTCAGAAAGGTTACTCACTGGAGCTGCAGCCAGCAAGTCACTTGGGATCAACTTGACACCAAGGAGTCCATTGAAAATTTTTGTTCAGAACACCAGTGACGTGCTCAGGAAGATTAAGCTGGTGGCCCAAAATAGACAAATTAAAGAGCAAGAGCATTCAGGTAGACCAGATGTCTGTATTTGCATTGCCCTACCAGGAGTGATAAATGCTTCAACTGTGGAAGGGACAGCAAGAACAGAAACAATGAGTTGGGTGCAGGAGACATGTTGGAGGAGGAGAGATTATGAGTGCCTCATATCTTCCTGTTCATGGAGGAAAAGAATCCTCCAAGGTCTGGGAACCAAACGGCCAGTAGAATATTTTATGAACAGATATGGAGGTGTCAGGAAGGAGGGTGAGGTGGCTGGATTTTTAGGAAAGGATAAGGAGGTCACTGGGGAAGATCATTTTTACGTAGTGGGAGGCAAAACTGTATCGCTGGAACTATGAGGGAGAACCCAACCTGTGATAAATACGTGGGAGTTGCCTGCGTGGAGATGATGGCTTAAACTGTTTGGATGGGTGGTGTATTGCCGGGAGAAGAGAGTCCAAATGTGGTAAATGCAAACACTTTACAGGAAGAAGAGGAAGAGGAACCGCCCCCACCCCCAAGCACAGTGGGAGGAAGAGATTGCAGAGAATCCTGATAAGAGCTTCTAGAAGGAAGTCGTGGTTGCAGTGTCAGATGTCACAGAGACAATGATAGAGGCTGAAACGGCCAGTGGATTGGTCTGCTAGAAAGTCATCTACCTCTAAGAGTGCAGGCCTCGGGCCAGCGTTGGGTGTAGTGGGTAAGGCTGCTGCCTGCAATGCTGGCATCCCATCTGGGCGCTGGTTCAAGCCCCGGCCGCTCCACTTCTATTCCAGCTCCCTGCTAATGCCCTGGGAAAGCAGTGGAAGACGGCCCAAGCGTTTGGGCCCTGCACCCACGTGGGAGACCCAGATGAAGCTCCTGGCTCCTGATTTCAGTCTGGCCATTTGGGGAGTGAACCAATGGATGGACCATCTCTCTCTCGCTGTCTCTTCCTCTCTCTGTGTAACTCTGACTCTCAAATAAATAAGCAAATCTTTATTAAAAAATTACAGTCGTATAGTGTTTGAAAGTGAATGGGAAGATTACTAAGTGAACACTTAAGAAAAGGGAGGGTCAAGCGCGGATTACGGGGAGAAGAAGGGGAGAGTGGGGGGCGGCCGTCGCTCCTCCTGCCCTCCAGCCGGGAGTCTGTGTGTGCACAGCAGGACTGGCCGACCTGCAGGAAGTGTCTGCTAAGGACTGGCTCCAGTTAAGCGGGGAAACTGAAAGCTGCAAGGGAAAGTGCTGGACACAGAGTTCGAGAGGAAACGGGGGACCGTGGGCCTCCAGAAAGGGCAGTTTCCATGTTGGAGGACAGACACCCCTTCCTCTGAGACGGGGGAGAGGGGCCGGGGGATGGAGAGTCGTGAGAGAACCAGGCAGGAGAGCAGAGTAAGGCGGGCCTCCAGCTTGGGAGCAAAGTGAAGGGTGGGTGCTGAGACGGGGTGAAGAGGAAGGTGTGGACCACCCACTCCGCCTGAGGCCGAGCGCTCCCAGACGCACGGGCGCCGGGTGGCTGAGCCCCAGCAGTGTCTGGCGAAGCTGCGCCCGCTCTGCTCCTCGAAGAAGCCTTTACCCACTGCAGCTACTTACCCTTCCTCATCTCCTTGTTATTTTTCCTTAATTTCTTTTCTGTGGGTTTTTATGTTTCCGGTATCGCCGTGATTATAAATTGTACAACTCTTCCCAAGCAATCATCTTACAAATTTCTGAAGTTAGCTAAATTGTGGGCAAAGTGCTAATATGAAATAGTAGTACTTTCTAGAAAAATTTATCGATGTAAGAATTTAGCATGGAAAATGAGTGAATCGAGTCCATAATCTGTGCTTCCCACTCCCCGGCGAAGAGGCTGATAATCATGTTTTAGTCAATCTAAATGAAAATGTCAGACTCTTTTATTTATAATTTTTCTTTTTTTAAACTTGAGAGGCAGAGAGAGAGAAAGGAAGCTCCAGTCTGATGGTTCACTCCCCAGATGCCTGGAACCATCAGGGCTGGGCCAGGCCAAACCCGGGAGCCAGGAACTCAGGTCAGGTCCCTTACGTGGGTGGGCCAGAACCACCGCCCCCTGGGGGGTGCACCAACAGGGAGCTGAAGTTGGAAGCTGCAGGTGGGTGTTGAACCCAGGTTGGGGACGCGGGCGTCAACTGCTAAGCTGGACAGTTGCTCTGGGAACAACTGTGATAGAGCCCTGCAGAATTTGGTTAAGACGGCTCAGATGCCAGGCAGCACTTGTTCAGCCAGAAGACCAGAGGAGCCCCCCACGGGGCCACCTGACCGCTGGGGCCTGTTGACAGAACTGAGCTGGCTGACCACATGGAGTAGCTAAGCTTGTAACAGTTAACCAGGGGCCACCTGATAGCAGTTTCTTTCACAAACACTATTGATATTTAAAAAGATGAGTGGAGTCCCTGTTCTCATTCTGTGTTCCAAGCCTCCTTCCCCCTGCTGGTGGCAGGGTGACCCACACACTGAGTAACAGGTCCGCTTCTGAGTGCAGTAGATTCCTGTTCCCGGCCTTATTTTGAAGTGGGAGGGAAATGCTGTTGACTCCAGGCCATCTCAGAGCTGCAGCGGATCTCTGGGGTTTATTCATGCAGAGGTGGCTCAGAATTTATTTCTCCTCTTCTCTCCTCACAGGTATGGCCTCACATGTGCAAGTTTTCTCCCCTCACACCCTCCAATCAAGTGCCTTCTGTAGTGTGAAGAAACTCAAAGTAGAGCCGAGTTCCAGCTGGGACATGACTGGGTACGGCTCCCACAGCAGAGTGTACAGCCAGAGCAAGAACACAGCACCTTCTCAGCCAGCCACCACAACCGTCAGCACCTCCTTGCCAATCCCAAACCCCAGCCTACCTTACGAGCAGACCATCATCTTCCCAGGAAGCACCGGGCACATAGTGGTCACGTCCGCAAGCAGCACGTCTGTCCCTGGGCCCGTCCTCGGCGGACCACATAACCTGATGCGGCGCAGCACCGTCAGCCTCCTTGACACCTACCAGAAATGCGGACTCAAGCGTAAGAGCGAGGAGATCGAGAACACGAGCAGCGTGCAGATCATCGAAGAGCATCCACCCATGATTCAGAATAATGCCAGCGGGGCCACGGTCGCCACTGCCACCACGTCCACTGCCACCTCCAAGAACAGCGGCTCCAACAGCGAGGGTGACTACCAGCTGGTCCAGCATGAAGTGCTGTGCTCCATGACCAACACTTACGAGGTGTTGGAGTTCCTGGGCCGAGGGACGTTCGGGCAAGTGGTCAAGTGCTGGAAGCGGGGCACCAATGAAATCGTAGCCATCAAGATCCTCAAGAACCACCCGTCCTATGCCCGACAGGGCCAGATTGAAGTGAGCATCCTGGCCCGGCTGAGCACAGAGAGTGCCGACGACTACAACTTCGTGCGGGCCTACGAGTGCTTCCAGCACAAGAATCACACCTGCTTGGTCTTCGAGATGCTGGAGCAGAACCTCTATGACTTTCTGAAGCAGAACAAGTTTAGCCCCTTGCCCCTGAAATACATCCGCCCGGTCCTCCAGCAGGTAGCCACGGCCCTGATGAAGCTCAAGAGCCTCGGGCTCATCCACGCTGACCTCAAACCGGAGAACATCATGCTGGTGGATCCGTCCAGGCAGCCGTACAGGGTGAAGGTCATCGACTTTGGGTCAGCCAGTCACGTGTCCAAGGCCGTGTGCTCCACCTACCTGCAGTCCCGGTATTACAGGTAAGACCGCACCAAGATGACAGGGGCCGTGAGGGGCCCGGTGGTGGCCGTCACCCAGGGCGAGATAGGAGCGCGTGTGAACAGTTGCTGCCCGCCAGTGATCTTAATGCAGCTGGGAAATTATGGTCCTATTGGCGCACATTGACATGACGGTGAGGAGCCAGGTAAGAGCAGAGCCAAGGAGGAGGCTTAGTCTAGTTGTTCAGAGCTGGAAGGGATCCATGGGAGCTGGAATGAAGGTCCAGACAAGGTGGAGGAACTGGGTCCTCACGGTGGAGAAGAGGGCGGGCCGTGCTGTCCAAAATCCTGCCGTAGGAATGTGCGAGACAGGTCAGCCACCTGCCGGCAGAGTTCTGAGGGAGGTGTGGTTGCGAGCCAGCACAGAGTGGGACCAGGTTGCTGGGGGTCTTGAGTAGCAGGCTAAAGCTTGGCAACTGTGTCCTGAGATTTGAACAGCCAAAGGTGAAGGCTGGGAAGGCTGCTCCTCTCACCTCCCGTGTGGAGGAGGCTGAGGAAGAGAGAAGTCAGGGAGCCGGCTGCTCACTCCTGTGGTGAGCAAGCCTCGGGTCTGGGCGAGGGGAGAATTGTGGAGCCTCTGGGAAGTGTGAATTAGGCAACCATTCCTCCGTACAGTCAGTCATTCAACAAGCATTTACTTCCAACCCGGCGCCGTGCTAAGTGCAGGGTCGTGGACGAGGCACTCACCGTCCTGGAGTCTCCTGCATACTGATTCTCAGCCCTGGCTGCACCTGCAAGACTCCTGGGGCGCTTCCAAAGTGCCCTCCGCAGACAGAACCCACGGGCCGGCTGAATGACCTCTACCAGCTTTCCTGGGCCCCAGGGCCAGTCAGGCTGAGAGCTGCTCTCTGCTGCCTTCCGAGTCAGGAGGACCCAGGGTTGGACCTGATTCCTCCGCTCAAAAGCTGTGTGGCTTGGGCCAGTTGCCTCATTTCCCTAGACATTCATCTCCTAACCCATGACCTGGGAGAAGCCGGCCTCTGCGCTTGCTGGGCTGATCGCTCGCCGTGGTTAACACATCGTAGGTGCTGCAAGCAGCAGCCAGCCCGAGAGGGGCACAGGGAGGAGCTGGCTGAAGACAGAGAGAGAGGTGGTTTGGGGCAATAGTGATGGGTTGTCCTTGAGGGCGCAGGGACCAGGCAAGTGGTAAGAAATGACAGACTCCTGCGAGAAGACAGCCCGATGACATGGAAGAGGTCCCTAAGACTGCTGCCTGAGACCCTCTGCCCGGGGGCTTCAAGGCCATGGAGAAAAAGCTGGAGAATGTGCTACAGCTGCGTCGACACAGCTGATCCTCACCCATTCCTGGCCCCCTGACTGCCCACAGCGCTGTCGCAAGTCTCCTCCCAGCTTCCCCCGCCTGCTGGGAAGAGCAGTGGTCACATGGCAGGAGCTGCAGGCCCCTCACCTTCCTCCCGGCCTCTGTTCGTCCTGACACTGACTCAGGATGAGGCATTAAGGACCCCCCAACCCTGCCGCCGCCGGGCCGTTTCTCCCGTGAGGAGGCATTCTATGGACTGCAGCAGCTCAGGTCCAGCCACTTTCTCCCGCACTAGCTGCCGGTGTGCGTGCAGCTCCCCCATCTTGGCGAGGGTCTCCGCCTGGTCCCCTCTGATGCCAGGCTGCTTTCCACTCGCCCCTCCTGAGCTGTGCAGTCTGCTGGGTGGCCCTGCTGCTCTGTAGATACGGTTCCGCTGGCTCCAGAGCCAGGTGCTTCTCGGTGGAGCCAGGCAGAGGGGAGAAGTAAGCCCTGAGGGAAGCAGCGGCAGAAGCATGGTGGCCGGGGCGGACCTGGAGGGGAGGGTAGCAGCAGCCGGCAGCACGTATCCTCTTTGGAAGCCAGCTCTGTGGCGCCATCGTGGGTCTGTCCCAGCCCACGCGAGCAGGAGCTGGGCCAGGGCTGGCCCTCCGCTCCCAGCTTTGTGCTGCAGCGTGTGAGTTCAGCCCGCCAACGGCTACTTCTTCCTAGGTGTTAGCCTGATGCAGGGTGAGCTGGAGCAACCCAGGGGCTTCCCAGCTTCTCTTTTGTAGCTGGATACCCAGTTTTCTTCAAGTTCATTCAAAGTTTTGTGTGGTGACGTGTTTGGGGGCAGGCATTCGGTGCACGGTTAGGGTGCCAGGTGGGTGCCCGCACCCTGGGTTCAAGTCCCAGTTCTGCCTCCTCGACCAGCTTCCTGCTTCTGCAGCCTGAGAGGCAGCAGGTGCTGACTCAGGTCCCCGTTCCCTGCCATCCATGTGGGAGACATGACTGAGTTCCCAGCTGTGGGCACTGGGGTGCATCCAGCAGATGGAAGCTCTCGCTCTCTTCTCCTCTCCCTCCCGCTCACATAGAATAAGTACACTTTAAAAAAAAAAAAACTATATTTAAAGTATACCCTATGAATCTAGCAAGCTGCCTTTGGGATCCTTAGCCCCTTCTGTGTCCTGACCCTCTTGTGCCCGTGCGGACAGCTCCTGCCCCCGGCTTCCCCTGCCGCGAACTCCGCAGCTCTGCTTTGCCTTTGCTTTCCCTGGTGTCCCTGGTCCCGAGGAGCTGGGCTCACAGAGCTGGGGAGCCCAGCTCAGGGGGTCTGTGCTGTGAGGCTCGGGGGCGGGCTGGACACCAGTCACTAGTGACACGGGCGAGCCTTGCGTGGACACCTGTGGTTTGTGTTGAAGGCAGCTTTGCGCCCACCCTGGGCCCCCGGGAGCTCTTCCCGGCCGTCCTTGCACTTCCCAGGCAGGCACGGTCACGTCTGGCCTGGAATCTCGTTTTTTCTGAGGCCTGCCTTCGGGTGGGCCAGTTCCCCCTTGCTTTAGCCTCTACCACTGCCTGAAATTCGGAGCACGGTGACCCTTCCTCTCTGTGGTCACTTTGGCCTTGGCCTCACGCCTGTCCTCTCTGAGCACAGCCCTGGTGTCGAGGGCACGGTCAGCAGGTAGGCAGCGTGGCTGCTCCGCCGGAAACGATGGCACAGTTCCAGGGTGGCCAGAGCGTCCTGCTCCTCCCCGGCCTCGCCTGTTTCCGGAGCAGTCTGCCGCGTGTCAGTCGGCACGTTTCTGTAGCTCCTGGTCTTTGCAGTCCTCGCCGTCCAGGCCGCGCTGCCAACTTGATCTTCCTGCTTGGGAGAAGCAGAGGGAAGAAGGAAAGCTCTCTAGCTGTCCGAGAAGGAAGCAGCTTCGGGGACCTCGGGAAAGTTGTCTGAGCTCCCTGGGACAGAGAGGCCAGCCCTTGCTGCAGTCAGCCTCCTGGCTGGGCCTGTCAGTTCTGCCTGTTCCCCCCACCCCCAGCCCCGGGTCCTTGTACTGAGCTGAGCACGTTATCGACTAGAAACACTCACATGGCCCTCCCTCCTTGTAAATGGGACTGTGTTAACTGTCTTGCCACCAGCATTGCTGCCCAGCGACGTGGAAGCAGCAAGATGAAGAGAGGCTCCTGTCCTCAGACTGGGGGGCCTGGGAAAGGACATGGTGTCCTGGGAGCCAACGTTGTCCACAGTGTGAGGCACGACCGAGGTTGGGACCATACTGTACTGGAATTCTGCAAGGCAAAGCCGGTGCTGTGTTCGTCAAGGGAACAGGTTGCTTTTCTAGTTTTTTGAGTCTGATGCAGAGTCTCCAACTTGAAGGTCAGTCACGTGGTTAAACGTCACCAGCGCTGGTCCTCTGCTTTGGGGAGCTTGTTCTCAGCAGCCTTCTGCCAGTTCCTCCCCAGCCCTGCACTGGCGTCCTGCACTGGCGTCCACAGGGGATCGCCCTCCCTTCGCGCTGTCAGTGTGACCAGCAAGCTAAAGCAAGACCAGACGTTAGAGCCCAGTCTCAGGAAGCACAGACAGACAGACTTGCCACTCAGCGGTGACTGAGACGCACCGAGCCTCTGCTTCTGCTCTGGGGCAGTCGAAATGTTCCTGCGCAGACTTTCTAAGACCCTTGTGACCATTGCTTGGACCCGCAAAATAGGCATAACAGTTAGGATATAAAAATAGCCAGAATAAACTGACTTTTCTGTCTGGTTCCCTTGGGCGCACTGTGTTCAAGTTGATCCCATAGTGGTTTTAAACAGGAGGTGGAGATGAATTTTCATTCAGTTTGCTCCATCAGACATTCGCTGGGTACCTCCCAGGTATCCTGTGTTACACGTGCATTCAGGGGTATGGGAGGTAAGGCGTAGCCTCTAATCTTTGAGGAGTGAGAAACACAAACTGCCCAGGGCTTACTGCTGGTGTTTTGGTATTGCAAATGTTTGCTCATTCAACAGATATTTAACTAAACCTGTGGGCAGACTCTCGGGAACTGACCTGAGCAAAACTAGTGCAAGACATTAGAAGTCATTCAGTGAGAGGTTTTATAAATGGGTGAGTGGGAGCACAGGCATTTAGCCTGCTGGTGAGATGCCCACTCCCACACCAGTGTCCCACTCCAGCTGACTGCTGATGTGCAACCTGGAGGGCAGGTAGTTGGGTTCCTGCCACCCAGACCTGGACTGGGGCCATCGCACACACTTGGGGTGTGAACCAGTAGATTGGAACACTCTCTGTCTCTTCATCTAAAAACTAAATGTTTATTAGGGGAAATTTATAGGCCAAGAACTATAATGAGGTAGGTCTTAAAGGAAATGCGAGCTTTCAATGGAATAGGAGAGGAGGCCTGGTCCAGCTGCGGGAGACTGGTGTGAAGTCAGGTGTTGCGTAGTGCCATTTTAATCAACAGCAGAGGACGTGTACGATGGTGGTCACACACGATCCTTTCACTTAGTGATGTTGTGGCCGGGCCAGGTGGCACAGTACCCTCTTTGGTGTCCACACAGTGCTGATATTGTGCAGTGAGAGGTTTCTCAGAACATAGCCCTGTTAAGTGACATGTGACTGAATAAGCGAGTGTGGGAGTGTTACCCGGGGAGACCCAGAAGCTAGGAGATGGCATTTACTCAGGAGTAGAAGGAAGGGGCCCTGGAGTATGAGGGGCTGCCCACTCCCTCGTGAGTGTGGGCATCTCAGTGCACTTAGCGTTTCTGATGCTTTGATTGCTGGGTCGACGTAGATGGAATAGATATCTGCCTGTTTCGCTTGCTTCTGTCACATGACTGTGCTGTCTTTAAGGCACAGTTCTGAAGCTTGGCTCTTTCAGAACCTGGTTTCAAACTGCGCCGTGGCTGTGAAGTCTGAGACAAGAGACGTCAGCTCCAGTCCTGCCCGTGCCCAAGGGTCCCACTGCATCGTGATCAGCAGGACATCGGCTCTGGGGCCCGCGCTCCTCCATTTGGATCCCATTGACCAGGGCCTGTGTTTCCCAGACAGCCAGAGTTGGTGGTTGAGTCTCTGGCCAGGAAGCAGTTTTCTGTCCAGCAGGTTGACCACGGCCTCATCAGCCCAAACTCAGATTCTGCTGGATCTCCCCGTCACAGAGGTCAAGCAGGTTCCAACATTGATGCTCCAGACTGAAAACATAAGCTACTCAAGAAGGGGGAATCACTTTATAAGGCCGTGAGCATGGCTTGTTTCCGAAATGGCACAGCTCATGCAGGCTGTAGTGCATGAAAAGTGACCACGTGTGTGGTTACCTGAGAAGAGCAGCCCTGGAAGCAGGTGCAGGTAGTGTGAGCTTCTTAAACTAATCCGTCTTTATTCCTACCAGGAGCAACAGGAGGAAGTGCTGGGCCACAGCTGAGGTGGGACGTGAAGTGGCCAAGCCACTTAAATCTCAGGGGGACAGGAAGTGTGGAGACTGAGCTCAGGTGATAAGCTACTAGGCTGTTAGCTTGTCTTCCTTTCTCCCTCATTCGTCTCTGGGACCTTCAGTTACACGGTAAAACACTTTGAGGCCGGCGCTGCGGCTCAATAGGCTAATCCTCCGCCTTGCGGCGCCGGTACACCGGGTTCTAGTCCCAGTCAGGGCGCCGGATTCTGTCCCGGTTGCCCCTCTTCCAGGCCAGCTCTCTGCTGTGGCCAGGGAGTGCAGTGGAGGATGGCCCAAGTGCTTGGGCCCTGCACCCCATGGGAGACCCGGAGAAGCACCTGGCTCCTGCCTTCGGATCAGCGTGGTGCCCCAGCTGCAGCGCGCCAGCTGTGGCGGCCATTGGAGGGTGAACCAACAGCAAAGGAAGACCTTTCTCTCTCTCTCTCTCTCTCTCTCACTGTCCACTCTGCCTGTCAAAAAAAAAAAAAAAAAAACCACTTTGAACTTAAAAACATTTTAAATCCTTATTAAAATATTGTAATAAGTATAAGAAATAAGTAAAGTGAAAAGCTCTACCTGTGTTTGAGTAACTCTCTGCCCACGTTCCACAGTTCCCCTGCACACACACATGCACACTCACACACGCACACTCACACACACATGCACAAATACATCTCACACACACACATAACACAACTTAAGGGCGTGGGACATAGGCATGCTTTTGAGCACCTTGGTGACAGAGAGGCTGACGCTCAGATCCCACCACGTGGAGGAAAACAGACGCTTGCAGAGAGCATGCAGGTGCAGCACATGCTGGGACACACATGCAGAGACACTGAGATGCCAGGCCCCTCCTTGGACCGCCTGAGCCTACCTGGGTGTGCCTATAACCAGGAGAGGTGGCACTCACACACCTGAGCCTACCTGGGCGTGTCTGTGACCAGGAGAAGTGGCACTCACACACCTGAGCCTACCTGAGCGTGCCTGTGAGCAGGAGAAGTGGTATTCACACACCTGAGCCTTACCTGAGCGTGCCTGTGACCAGGAGAAGTGGTATTCACACACCTGAGCCTACCTGGGTGTGCCTGTGTCCAGGAGAAGTGGCACCTACACACCTGAGCCTACCTGGGCGTACCTGTGACCAGGAGAAATGGCACCTACACACCTGAGCCTACCTGAGTGTGCCTGTGACCAGGAGAAGTGGTATTCACACACCTGAGCCTACCTGGGTGTGCCTGTGTCCAGGAGAAGTGGTATTCACTCACCTGAGCCTACCTGGGCGTACCTGTGACCAGGAGAAGTGGCACCTACACACCTGAGCCTACCTGGGCGTACCTGTGACCAAGAGAAATGGCACCTACACACCTGAGCCTACCTGGGCGTGCCTGTGACCAGGAGAAGTGGCGCTCACACACCTGAGCCTACCTGGGTGTGCCTGTGTCCAGGAGAAGTGGTATTCACACACCTGAGCGTGCCTGTGACCAGGAGAAGTGGTATTCACACACCTGAGCCCACCTGGGCCTGCCTGTGACCAGGAGAAGTGGCACTCATACACCTGAGCCTACCTGAGCGTGCCTGTGACCGGGAGAAGTGGTATTCACACACCTGAGCGTGCCTGTGACCAGGAGAAGTGGTATTCACACACCTGAGCCCACCTGAGCGTGCCTGTGACCAGGAGAAGTGGCACTCACACACCTGAGCCTACCTGAGCGTGCCTGTGACCGGGAGAAGTGGCACTCACACACCTGAGCCTACCTGAGTGTGCCTGTGACCAGGAGAAGTGGCACTCACACACCTGAGCCCACCTGAGTGTGCCTGTGACCAGGAGAAGTGGCACTCACACACCTGAGCCCACCTGAGCGTGCCTGTGACCAGGAGAAGTGGCACTCATACACCTGAGCCTACCTGAGCGTGCCTGTGAGCAGGAGAAGTGGTATTCACACACCTGAGCCTACCTGGGTGTGCCTGTGACCAGGAGAAGTGGTATTCACACACCTGAGCCCACCTGAGTGTGCCTGTGACCAGGAGAAGTGGCATTCACACACCTGAGCCTACCTGGGTGTGCCTGTGACCAGGAGAAGTGGCACTCACACACCTGAGCCCACCTGGGTGTGTCTGCAGACCAGGTGCAGAAGTGGTATTCATACCCTGGGAACTTGGCCCAGTTTTCTGCCCTGCTGCAGCACTGCCTACCATGTGCCCCTAAACCTGGGTCCACTGTTGGGTTCGAGGCATCAACCACTCATTTTCTAAAGTGGGGTCCAAGGACTCTTCTACACCAGAATCACCCAGGGTACCTGTTAGAAACAAAGAATTCTTGGGGGACCAGCGCTGTGGCGCAGGAGGTTAATCCTCTAACTGTGGCGCCAGCATCCCATAGAGTGCCGGCTCGAGTCCCAGCTGCTCCCCTTCCATCCAGCTCTCTGCTATGGCCTGGGAAAGCAGTGGAGGATGGCCCAAGTCCTTGGGTCCCTACACATGCATGGGAGATCCAGAGGAAGCTCCTGGCTTCGGATCGGCCATTTGAGGAGTGAACCAGTGGATAGATCTTTCTGTCTCTCTCTCCCTCTCACTGTCTGCAACTCTACCTCTCAAAAAAAAAAAAAAAAAAATCTTAAAAAGGGAAAAAAAAAAAAAGACTCCTGGGCTGCAAAATAAACCTGATGAACACACCCTCTGGGGACGGGGCCAGGTGATACACCTGGATGAGATCTGTAGCAATTTCCTTTCTGAAAAACACACACTACTTCACTGAGGTATGATTGACACAAAATGCTGTAAATTGTTGTCTACAACTTAGTTAAGTTTGGGAATGAGTATACATCCGTGAGACTGTCGGTCTATGTCATAAATGTTCTGTAGCCTCCATATGTTCCCTCCCTATTCCTTATCAACCTCGTTATCAGCCTTGGAGACTTGCTTTTCCGAGTGGCTTGGGCTCCAGGTGTGCTGTGTCCCCCCCACCAAGATGGCCCCAGGCTGATGCCCACTCCTCAGAGTGGCTGGTGGCCCTTCTGAATGGCCTGTAATTGCTGGCTGACTTGTGGCCAAACCTTTCTGCCCCTATGATGATGACAGTGAGAATCCAGAAATGTTGGTGAATGCAACAGGAGAGGTCGTAGGGATTGGGGGGCTGGAAAAGTGAGTGGCTCAGAGGAGAGTGTCCAGAGTCGGGGTGGCAGTGAGATGGCCAGTGCTCGGCAGAGGCTCAATGTACGTGACTTTGGCCTGACAGCAGACATGTTACTTGCGATTAAGCAGCCCCTGGACTCTCCCTGTGGCTATGGCTAGATTTATAGTTTTAATCCTCATCTGTGTATCCAACAGGTAATTTTTGAATTCCTGAGATGTCTCAGACATTATGTTTTGTGCTGAGATTTCAAGAGTAGGCGTGCCCTCAGCTACTGCAGTGTTCACCTCTAACCCATAATGGAATGAACTGTCCCTGGGTAGCCAGGGCTGGCTGTGCCAGGCTTCAGTGCCCTGGGCCTCCGTGGTCTGCCCAGCAGAAGCACCTCTCATTAAACAGAAGCCAGAGCTCATAGCATCCTGGAGTCATTTTGCTGCTCTTGCTGGCTTTGGGGCTGCTGCATGTTCTGAATCTTCTGTGCTCTTCTCAGGCTCCCAGACACCACCAGTGCAAGGTGAGCCTGGAGTTTCCCCTCTCACCCCTGCTCCCATCAGCTGCCGGCTCCTACAGGGCCTTTCAGGGGGTGGCTGAGACAAGCAACCCACAGGCATTGTCGGGAGCTGGTTGGGGCTCTTGTGGCTCCTGTCCTTGGGTAGAGGTTGAGATGGCGATGTTAGCAAATGCCTTATTTGGGTTTCCCCAGAAGCAGAACGTGAGGGAAGGGCTCGGGTGCAGTTCGTCCACTTGGGAGCTGATCCCAGGAGGCAGGAGTGAGGGGTAGAGAGTGATGCAGGAAGGAGAGGCAGCATTATTAGGGGTGCTGATGACCACAGGGCTCCATGCACCTCTGTGGAGCCTGAAAAGGTCCCCCACCCCAGAACTGCACATGAAAGGGCGAGAGCCTGGGGCTCTGGGCCCTGGGTTGAGGGCTGCCCTCAGCAACGGTAACTCTCCCGTGACATATGTATGAGAGAGAAGGGGGAGAAACAGATCTTTCATACGTTGGTTCACTTCCAAGATGGCTGAGCAAGGCTGAAGCCAGGAGCCACGGACTACGTCTGCGTCCCCCCACGTCGGCAGAGCCATCACCTGCTGCTTCCGAGGTGCGTTGGCCAGGAGCTGGAGCAGAAGCAGAGCACTGGGACACAAAGCAGCACTCCCCACCAGGTGTCTAACGACAACTCCGCCTGCTGCGCCAGAACGCTAGCCCCGGCCTGTGCCTTTGTTTGGGCTGAGCTTATGCAAGGACTGAGTGGGCTTGAGCAAGTCCTCACAGAGCTCTGAGGCAGAAAAGCCAAGCCAAGTGTGGAGCACAGGATGGCACCGTGGTGCCGAGCCGGCAGAGTGTGTGACCCGTGCCCCAGTGCTGACTGCGGTGGCACAAGTGGGCCGGCAGTCATCGTCCTCCCCGGCAGTCATGAGTGTGGCACTGGCAAATGGAAAGGGAGTAAAGGGGAGATGGCTTTAAAAGCAAGTACAAGAGCCTAGAGTTGAGCTCTACCTTTGGCCTTTGGGGCACTGGGGATCTGAAACGAAACACGGTAACCTGAGGACCACCTGCGGTGCGGCATCCCATGTGGGCACCGGTTCATGGGGTCCCGGCCGCTCCACTTCCCATCCAACTCCCTTAAATGGCTTGGGAAATGCTCTCTGCCAGCTGGCCTGCCAGCTGAGCAGCTGCGGCAGGGGCCGGGCAGGCCCTGAGCTAGGACCCTGCCAGGGAGGCGCCTGTCGGAGCACCAGTGGATTGGGTGGGGCTGGAGTGCTCTTCTCCCGTGTTTCCTGCACCCGTGCTTGTCAGAGGCTGCGGCTACCACTCCCCAAGCTCAGCTGTGGAATGGGCTAATGGCCGACTGCCCCAGTGGATCAGTGAACAGTGCCAGTGACCTCGTGTGCTTTAAAAAGGCTCGCTCCATCGTGCGTGCAGAAACCCGGGCCCAGTTTCTTGTCTTTCACTGTTGACTAGCCCTGGATCGGAGGGACTCCCAGAATCGGCATCTTGAGAGGCAATTGCATCTCACCAAAATTTTATTCTCATCTTGTCTTTCCACCTGTGAAATTTAAATTTAAAGCTGAAGACAGCTGACTCAGCTTCTAACAGTTCATTTCCCTGTAGTGAGCCAACATCTGTCTTGTGCCATTATTCCTTCACGGAAAATTAGAAATGACTTCCACGCATGGAGCAGGCCCAGCACCACAAGGCCTGCCTGTCACCCTCTGGCCCTGTAGCCGCGGCTCTGCCGTTCTGTGGTGAGGCTTCGTGGGCACCCTCCTCGCGTGCCCTGCAACTCTGTCCTCCTTTAGAGCTGAATGACAGGGCCAGCCTTGTGGTGCAGGCTAAGCCGCAGCCTCTGTTGCTGGCGATGCGTGCCAGAGCCCCAGGCTGAGGCCCAGCTCCCCGCTGGTGTGCCTGAAAGCAGAGGGAGAGGATCCAAGTCCTTGGGCCCCTACACCCACCTGGGAGACCCAGTCGGACTTCCAGGCTCATGGTTTTGACCTGGCCCAGCCCTGGCTGTTGTGGCCTTGTAGGGAGTGAACCAGCAGATGGAAGATCAATCTCTCTCTCCCTCTCTCTGTCACTCTGCCTTTCAAGTAAATAAATTAAAAACATTAAAAAGCTGAATGAGCAAAGATTTCCTACAGAGTATGAGACGAATCGTGCACCTGGTGCGTAGTAAGCACCGGTGAAGACTAGCTGCTCTGTTTGTTTTTCCTACTACTGCTGTTATCACTTTATTATTTTTCTCATCATCATTATATGTGACAGACAGGCCAGGGTTTGAATTCCAGATCTTCTGTGTGATTTTAGGCAAGTTCCAATCTTTGAGGCTCATTTTCCGTTTCCATTTTGAGGAGAAACATCACAGTTCACAGGGTTATTGCTGAAGGAAGCAGCTGTAGGCACGTGGCTCGTGTCCCACCATACCTGGCGCTGGCAGCTCTAGCTCACTAGTCCTGTGCTTTCCCTGTTTACACACCTCTGTGATGGCATCTATTTGACCTCAGCTGATGTCCTCATTCGCTGTCTGTGAGCCCAACACTGCCTTATTCAGGTCTCTGGGGTTGGGCATCATTTCTGGTTCTTCTCTGTACACATACGTGGAGGGCCAGTCCTGCAGATCCTACCAGTGGAAACTGAAGGAACAGTACCTGAACGTTGACTTCTCTGGCGTCCAGAGGGCTGGGTCCAGTGCAGCAATGAAGGGGCTAGTGTTTGGGGAGGGTGGGGACAGACCCTGGTCAGCCTGGGGAGGGAGGTGGGTGCACCAGTCGTGACTTGAGGCGCGGGCTGTATTGCTGTGCCGCTGCACCTGAAGTGATGCAGGCATCCCGAGTCTAAGCTGGACCTGGAGGCCTCAGAAGAAGTGCTGGGGTGGGGTCCCAGGAGCCTTGGGATGTCAGGCACCATTTCACACTTCCCGTGCTCCCCACACCCAGTCCCGTCGACGCTGACAGCCCCAAGACTGCAGTGTTGCCAGAGACCCTGTTCCAACACTGCCTTGTAGGCAGCATGTGGTATGTGTTAGGTGTATGTTGGGATCTGTGGAGGGTAAGTTTGTGTATGGTACGGTTGCACATGTGTGTGAGTTGAATATACTGGTGTATGTAGGGCTGTGGGATGTGTTGGATAAGGCATGGGGGTGTGTGTGTGTATGTGTGTGTATGCATGCATGTGTGTAGGCAGGTCCATGCTGTTCCCACTATTTGGAGCTACTTCCTAGTCCTAACTCTCCTGCCTGGAAAAGTGTGTCCCATCACAACCATATTTATGTAGCTGTTGGACATAAAATAAAATAAAAGTTCTTTGGCCAGAACATGAGGGACAGTTAGTGTCACTCCCTTGTCATCCACTGACCTCCAGTGAAGGATCTCTAGTCCTCTCCATTTGGTGACTCAGAACTTAAATTGGAATAGAAGTGCACTAAGTGTGAGTCCCAGAATGTAAACAGTGTCAGGTGCCGCTCTCACCTGTGAAAGTCAGTCAGGCCCCGTGAGCAGCAGCGGGCGATTGCAGATGGAGCCGTTCCGCACCTGGAGTGTGGGCGTGGCAACGCGAG